AGGAGAGATCAGTCCCTGGAGAAGAACATCATGCTTGGTAAAGTAGAGAGTCAGTGAAAAAGAGGAAGACCCTCAACAAGATGGATTGACACAGTATGTGCAACAATGGACTCAAGCATAAAAATTGTGAGGATGGTGCAGAACCAGGCAGTATTTCGTTCTGTTGTACGTAGGGTCACTATGAGTCAGAACTGACTCAACAGCACCGAACAAAAACAACAACAACTTTGACGTGTTATCAGGAGGGACCAGACCCCGGAGAAAGAAATCATGCTTGGTAGAGGGTTTTGCAAAGAAACTGGGCAGTAAGTGGTTTACTGAGCCTGGTGGCACAGTGGTTAAGAGCTTGGCTGCTAACCAAAAGGTCAGCAGTTCAAATCCACCAACCGCTCCTTGGAAACCCTATGGGGCAGTTCTACTCCGTCCTGTAGGGTCCCTCTGAGTCACAATCCACAACAAGTTTGTTTTGGGTTTAAAGTAGAGGGTCAGCAAAAAAGAGGAAGACACTGAAAGAAATGGATTGACACAGTGGCTGAAACAATGGGCTCAAAAACGGCAAAAAGTTTCAAGTATGGTGCAGGACTGGGCAGTATTTCATTCACTCTGAAAAGAGTGATTATATCAATTTAAGGTCCATTACGTTTCCATTAAGGTCACCATGAGTTGGAACCCACTGGACTGCAACTAATAACATGCTTACAGAAACCAGAAAAGAAAAATAAGTATCCATGCAATTCTCACCTAGACACTGAATGCCTACTCAAAATTTTAGAGTTTAGCAGCTATATTTTATCCACATCTCATATAGAGAGAAATACTAGTAACTGGCCACTTTGAACCAGAAAGGAATTTTGAATGTTTCAAGTGAATAGCTGTATTTCATAAGTTAAAACACAAGGAACATAAATGAATTAAAAATTGATTTTATACAGACCATCAGCAATCACTGCAATTTGAATCACAAAATGACATTCTCGGTGTCACAAAGAGAGAGGCCATATCTGATCCATACCTATCCCAATACATGTTGTATGATATTCTTTCTTTTCCACTGATCTTCTGGGTGTCACAGAGAGAGAGGCCATATCTGATCCATACCTATCCCAATACATGTTGTACGATATTCTTTCTTTTCCACGTACCAAACACATCACAAGAAAGCCATGAACCTGTTTGTGAAGTTTTTCTTCTTCTGTGTTTCCTATTGAAGGAGCTCACTCATCCTCACAAAACAGACTCAGGCCACAGGACTCAGAATTGCAGAGAAACTGGGCAGTAGGTCTTTTATGAGGCTTGGTGGCACAGTGGTTAAGAGCTCGACTGCTAACCAAAAAGTCGGCAGTTTGAATCCACCAGCCACTTCTTGGAAACCCTATGGGGCAGTTCTGTTCTGTCCTGTAGGGTTGCTATGAGTTGGAATCAACTCAACAGCAATGGGTTTGATTATGTTTTGGAAGTGGTTTACAGAGCAGGAACATGGAAAGAAAAGTGTAGGAGACTCTGGATGAGAAAGAGCACAGTTGGAGATATGCTGACAATCTAGAGAGAGAAGAAAGAGAATCAGACAACATGAAGGGATAAAGACCAAAATACATCAAATAATGGCAAAGAGAACATGCCAATGGGAATATTTCTTTTGCGAAATAAAAGAGATACATAAGCTTAACATGAGTAATGATTAATTGTATACTGACATTTAGTAGAAAACCATAAGTAAGTCATACTTTCTGGTTAAATTTTATTTATTTTTAAGTTTATCCGGAT